CGTCGACCATTTCTGGCCGGCAACTTTCAGCATCATTAAGCCGCTGCACCACCGCATCCCCTTATTGCTGCTAGTTGAGCCTAAAAAGCACAAGCTATCCACCATTTAAGTATCGTTACTGTCAGTTATAAGGCTGGCTGCTGTACCTGTTGTCATTAGCTTGGTTTTCTTATGTAGGTCTTAGACATACTCCCATTTTTTCCTTGTGCTGTTTCCAGTTCATTTGCCTTTTCAGCTATCAGGATAGCATTATCAGCATAACACAAGTTATGCTGTGGCTTCCTCACCTATGTATAGGTTTTCCATGAAGACAATGAGATGTTCTGGGATTCCCAATTTTCAAAGGACATTCCACACCTTGGAATGGTGAACAAAATTTAAGGCCTTTCTATAATCAGTGAAGCACTTATTGACTTATTTTTTGGTATTTTTGGCTTTCTTAATTATCCAGCATGCACTAGCAATAATATCTCTTCTTCCTTAACCTTTTCTAAAGCGAGCTTGAATATCTGGCATTTCCCTTTTTGTGTAGGGTTGAAAGCCAGCCCACATTGCTCATAGTATTTTGCTTAAAAATTCAAAGGTCTCCTTATCTGCAGACAGGTTTATCCATGAGTATATATGGGAAATACAGGTACTTTTAAAAAGTATTGCCATATGTACTTGTGGATAAGCCCATCCACAGATAAGCCAAACCTGAATTTTTGGGGTATATTTTGACACCTAAAATTCTCAACTCATCTGTTAGTATATACGGTACTCTTGGCATACATTCCTAGCATTTTTTGTTCATCTCTCCAAGGAACACACACACACAGGTTACCAAGACGAGCAAGATTTTGGTGGAGAGGAAAGGGTCTTTGAACTGAACTAACACAAGCTGATTTACACAGAAAGCATACATGAGAGATTATGTATATATATGAAATATAATTTAAAAAACAAGAAAATGGCTATGATCTTTCTTGATGTGGAGAACAAGTTTGTTAATTTGGAATTACTTTTCATATTTATGACTCTGAAGAAAATGAACTGCAATTCAAATTTGTGTACATAAATACAGAGTATTTATAAAAAACACAAAGCTCAGGTAATGGCAAACAGACTTTTCTCACAAAAATATATCATAACAAAGGAAACAAAATATGCCTGCGCCATATTTCCTTCCTTTCTAGTGGCATTAGAACCCCTGGAAAGAAAGGAAGTAATCTAAGATTACTTCAAATTTTTATTCAGTCTTATATGGCCTGTAAACTTCTTTCCCATTTCTTTTCGTTTCCCTTACATTTTTTCTACTTTTCTTTTTGATTCTGCTCTTTTTAAGTGTCTACTATATCTACCTATTACCAGTAGGGGTCCTTGGGCAAAGACCCCCTAACGCTTCACCTGCCTACCTCTAATATGAGAGTGACACAAACTAAGAGAGTCATGCCGGCTCGGACATCGCCCAGATTAATAAGGTCCACATCAGATGTTGGGGAACCAGGACAATCTGACGATGAGTGGGCTACTGGAACAAACCATTCATGGACAAGATGTGGAAAGTCAAGGCCAAAAGTGGTCCCAGTGGTGGTAGGAGCACTCGGGGCCATGACTCCTAAGCTGGGAGAGTGGCTCCAACAGATCCCAGGAGCAACATCAGAGCTCTCTGTCCAGAAGAGTGCAGCGCTAGGAACAGCGAAGATACCGCACAGAACTCTCAAACTCCCAGGCCTCTGGTAGAGGACCCGAGTTTGAGGAAGACACATACCACCCATAGGGATGAGAAGGGAATTTATATATACTGTATGAGTGTGTGTGTGTGTGTGTGTATAATATATATATATAAATAAATGGAAATGGTCTTGTTTTTTATTCCCTGTTCAGGCACTCATGTTAGGAAAATATAAACTCTTGACCTACAGGGAAAATATATTAGGAACCTGCACCTTATACTCCTTCACCAAACTCCACTGCAAAATTCCTATTAGCTAATTTTGTTCCAAATGCTTCCTGAAACTTGGAACTTTGGTTCATGGGAGTGAAGGAGGGAAGGCAGTCTGATTTAATGATTGTATCCTTGCTTTTTTAAAATCTACAATGCTGTTTTTGTACAACCTTGCTGTGTGGGTTATTTATTTATTATTTTTATTTGAATATCATACACTCTTTTGGAAATGTAATTCTGTGTATCCAGAAAGGCATTTGAAGTTGGTAATAGTTTCAGAAGTTTTGAATGAGAAAATAGATTTAAAAATTGGGGAGAATGAATTTCTCATCTTTTCCTAACTCTGGGATTGAATTCCAAACTTGTTTCAGGTGAACACTTCTACAATTCCAAGAATGATCAATATTAGCTAGAATAATGCTTATTTTCTCAGTAGTCCTGAATTATTGTAAAACATGTTTTTGATTTGTGATTCTACTGCAGTGTTAGCATGCTAGGTTTACTAGGTTTTTTTTAATTATCAGGTATAAGATGCTGAGCCAATATGATTACCGTGATTGTCGAGCAAATGGATGGTCCAATGAAGTTCCTCACTGTGAAAGTAAGTGGGCTCTCAAAAATTTTACTTGAGATCAAAGTAGCGCAAACATGTTTAATCTTTTAAACCTGAGTTTTTGTAAGCTTAGAAATCTCTTCTTGGCAGTTTCTTGTACAGCTAGCCCCCAAAGAGAAGTCTGACAACTAGTGACCACAAAGAATCTGACCAAATTACCAAAAATAATTCAAACAAATTTGGAAAATTGATTTGAAAGATTTATGTCATTTACAATGGATAAATGTGAAACCGGGTTTATGAAGATGCATGCATGAGAAATGGGGGGGGGGGGGATTATATGAATGCTTTTTTAAGGGAAATAAAAAGAACATGGAAGAATAATGTGGAAATTGCACATGAAATTAAATGTGAATAGCTCTGATTAAAGTTTAAGTAATACAATGGATAAATGTGAAACCGGGTTTATGAAGATTACAATGGATAAATGTGAAACCGGGTTTATGAAGATGCATGCATGAGAAATGGGGGGGGGGTGATTATATGAATGCTTTTTTAAGGGAAATAAAAAGAACATGGAAGAATAATGTGGAAATTGCACATGAAATTAAATGTGAATAGCTCTGATTAAAGTTTAAGTAACTCTTGCATAAATCACTTTGCGTACAAGCAAAATTAGCTACAACTTAAGCCTTTCCTATAAATCTTCTATATTTGTCCCTGGTATTCTGCCCCAGTTAAAAACTACAATGAGACCTCCATTCACAACTTTCTAGATCTTACAGAAAAGTTTGGTGGGAGTCTGTCCCAGGTTTATTCTGTAGGTAGGCACAGGTCCTGCTGAAACCCTTTATCTTAGGCATCCAGTCCAGGTGTGAGCCATTACATTCCATCACATCAACTGACTCGGTTTGGAGGCCACACCAAGCCTTCTGAGCCTATCTTCATAGCTTGGCTTTTCTATGAGTACTGTATTTTGCCACATTTTTAAACAATTAAAATAATTGTTTAAATAATTAAAATGGGAAGTAGACATGCTGCAAATCACCACCCTCCAGTGTTTCATTGTATATAAAGAATATCACTTGCCTTTATATTAGCCCCACAAGCATTCATAGAAAATAAGCATGTTGAATTGCTGCAGTCAAGTGCAGTATATGGTTTAGAAAAAAAGGCTAAGGTGGGGGATAGTATTTGGGGAAGCCTCAGAGGTGTGGGGAATAACTTCACCAATTTGCCATTTAAGATATAATTTTGAGATTGGCTACACTTCCTAAGTAATTATTTCATAAAACCATAGACTTGGAAGGTATAGAAAGTAAGGAAGATGACCTTGATGGAAATGTAGGAACTGTTACCTAGGTAAAAAGGGTGAAACACTTTTTAAGTCCAGAGCAATGAGATAACATTCAGAAGCAGTTCAGGTAGGTGCCTCCCTAATTCACTGGAGTATAAGAAGGAGGAGAAGGTTCAGCCCACTCAGACTTGCCAGATTCTGTTACTATACCCATTGCAATAAGAGCAAAGATAGGACTGAAAGAAGGGCCATTTAGGCCACTGACTTCAGCCCATGTATCCAAGTTAAAATATCACAGATAGATATTCTCGGTCTCCCTACATATTTCATTACATTGTTGACTGCTCTTGCTATTAGGATTTTTTTTTAATAATCAAATCTGCCTTCCTGTAGCTTAAATCCATGGTTCTATCCTATACTCTGGGACCAGAGAGACTGTCTTGATCTTCTTCCACCTAATACCCTAAGAATGCTATCATATCCTCTTAGTCATCTTTCCCAGGAAAGAAAGAAAGAAAGAAAGAAAGAAAGAAAGAAAGAAAGAAAGAAAGAAAGAAAGAAAG